CTCTCCAGAGACATCTAGCAGATTCAAGAAAATTCCATTGTTGGATTCTCTCATTCTTATCAGAACTAGCATAAATAAAAACAACCCAAAAAGAACCACTCACACCTATATTATCCACTTCTAATTGAATACAGAAATGATTGCTAATAATATGCTTAATAACAACATCCCTGCTCCATAATACAAGCAAACCCCCACTTAAACCTCTGGGCTCAAAAACCAAACCACCTATCTCTATAACCTATTTTATTACAGACATATTTAACAAAATTATTTTTCTTTTTCGTTTCAGAAAGAAACACAAAATGAGGATGGTGAAGTCTTGAAGACTCCTTGAGTTGGGAAACTGTAGAGGGTCCACCCAACCCTCTACAGTTCCACATCGTTAGTTTCATTGATCCGCTGTGGGCCACTCAGGGCTGGCCACCCCCACCTCTGATATTGTGTTTTTAAGCTTTTTGGTACCTCTGGTCACAAGATTTTCCTCTGCATTTTCAATGATAGCTAAAGCCAAACTTCTCTTCCTCCTTCTAGGCAAAAGCTCTTCCTGAGTAGGGCTAGTAGAGGAAGTTGTGATTGGTGTGGTAGCTTTGCTGGTTGAAGCATTTGATTTCTCTTCGAACCCTTTCTCTTTGGGATTTCTGCCACTAGGACTACCTCAGTCATCACAATATTGGTATGCTCTGGCACTGTCTCCAACTCCATTAACAGATTTTGATTTCTCAAAGGTAAAAAATCAGATTCTTTGGTGTGAGCAGTCTGCGAGGTATGCTGAACAACATCTATTGTTTCTTCATGTGGTAGAAGTGCCTTTAAGGTAGGAGTAGTGTTGTTCTTCAGGCTAGGAGATTTACCTGGTTGAGTTTGAATACCACTCCCAGCTGATACATGCCCAGGCCCTTCAACTGGATTTTCCTGACTTGATGTCATCATTTGATTTGGAGAAATCGGTAGTCTGTGCTAAAAGTTGAGTTGAATCTGCTTGCACCATAATTTCCCATAGCCCTCATCCACTCTCCATATTGACCATCCTTCTGAGTTCCCTTATCGATATCCTCCATTTTCTTGACACAGCCCCTTTCCAAATGACCTATCAGTCCGCAGTAAAAACATGTGTTGATCAACTTTTTACATTGAAAGTTCGCTCTGACTTGAGTATCATTCAGCCTAAGATTTGCCACTCTAGGAAGAGGTTTAGAGACATCGACAATTGCTAGGAGACGAAGATAACTTCCTCTTTGGCCCCCTGCTTTAACTACTGTAACGATCTTGGTTTGCTTGAACATCCTTCCCACTCTTAAACCAACGTCGGTGCAAAGCCAGTTAATAGGAATATCATTTACCTGCACCCAAAGCTTAAGTTCAGCAAACTTCTCATGGTTCTCCGTTAACCCTTCCTCCCACTCTGCTAGAATCAGGTATTGGTTTTCGAAGACCCAATTAGTTCCTGCCATAACTTTCTGCTTATCATTGATGCTCCTGAACATAAATTGGAAAAAGTTTGTTTTGAGCTCCTTGACTTCCATGGGATACTGTATTTGCCAGATAGCACCCATCGCTCGGCGAATGCCGATTAGGCTAGCTCGTCTGTCCCCTATGATTTTGCCAAATAAACTTTTTCTGCACTCCTCCGCACTGATTTTGATGTCGTCGTCTTTAAGATCGATAAAACAATTCTCAGATTCCGACAAATCAATGTTCTTTAGTTTAACTTACTTTCAAATGAAATTTGTTGAGGAAATTTAAAGTTGATTTTTAATCATTTTGCTTGAAATTTAGTTTTAACATTGTATGTCCAAATATTGTTCTAATTTTTTTTGCTTCTTATCGTGTATCCTGTACTGAATTTTCAAAATAGTAGGACAAGATATTTCTACTTTTTAAACAATTTATAATTCATGTTTTCTTAAAAACACTTACGTATCGAAAAAATTGTTTAAACAAATATGCTTAAAAATGAACCATAACAATTTTTGGTACTACGTCACAGTATAGAAATTTCAATATTTAAAATTAGTCAATTACATCAATATTTCAAATCGAACGTTTGCAGTATTTTAATGCTGTGTATATAAAATAACTAGTATTCGATCCTGTGCATTTGCACAGATATAAATAAAATATTGTGAGTTATTTGTATGCATATAATGATTAATTATTTTTCTTTCACTTTATTGCATGCCAAATTTACAAATAAAGAAGTTGGAATATTTACTTAAAAAAAATTGCGTTTATCTGATTGGATGTGATGTATATTTTGGTACGTCTTTTTTTGAATTATTTATCATTTATTTAGGATTTCAAATACGTTTTTAATTTAAAAAAAAAATTAATTTAAATGTAACCACAATAATAACATCTAATCACATTGTACGATCAACACATTATATGGTCAACTGTCATTAATAAAAAACTGAAAATAATTTTTGTAATTTTGAAGTGATTAGTATTGATTATTTAATAATTAAATGAAAAATTAAATACATAAAAAAGTAACGGTTTTTGGAGGGAAAAATATTAAATTGCCACATAGGTAAAATTAATTAGGTTTTATTAAATGCTATTGGCTAGTAATTATATATATATAGATGATGTTTAAAGGTGGTGTTTATCCGTTCTCATTAGAAAAATAAAATAATGGTAACCAATAAATTAAATAGGAGCTAAGAAATGATAAATACTAACTTTCAGCGTGAACATAGTGATATCCTCCCTATATATAATTCCAGAAACTTCTTGTGCTTCGGAATCCTATTTGCCGAAGAATCATGCTTCGTAATTAGGTTTGGATGAATAATATTGATATATTAATAAATAATAATCTAGGTTCGGGTATTCCATAAATATTATTTAGCTAACTTAGGTATTTTAATATCACTTTTACTAATATAACCCTTTAATATTTTGTAATTTTACATAGTGAGGCACTAAGTGACTAATATATCCCTGAATTTTGATTTGTTTCCTTCAATAAGCTATTGAATTATAAATGTATTTTAAAAGTTGATAACTTTTGTATTTTTTATCGGTTTTACATATATAATATATCAAAATTAATCATCTTTTGATTATCTTCGATTTGACATTCATATTGTATATGTGAAATAAATAAATTATATTTATCTTTAGAATAAAAAAAATAATATTTATTAAAATTCATTAGAAAAATAAAATTATTTCTCAATTGATATATTTATATGTAATGTAGTTATATATTGTAAGTTAAAAAAAATTAGTATAATATAACACAAGTAAGTCGCACAAATAAAAAGTGTCATAATAAATATATAATAATATATATTCTTATAAAAGGTATTTAAATTTTCAAACTAATTTTTTCTTATTAATTTTAGATTTTAAGAAAAAAATTAGCAAGCACCCGTGTAATACACGGGTGTTGTACTAGTAAGTTGATATAACAAAAAAAATATTTATGGTATAAGTTGATTAACCAATAAGAGTTGTGTTATAGAGACATGATGATGTTTCTATCTTTACTCCATTCGTTGCTTCCGTGCAAAAGATGGAAAAAAATATATCACCCTATATATAATTCCCAAATGCGCCGAGCTTACGTGACTGCTTCTGGTGCTTCAAAATTACTTGGCGAAAAATCATACTTCGTAATTAGGTTTGAACAAATATTATTGATATATTAATAATTAATAATCTAGGTTCGGATATTCTATAAATATTATTTAGCTAACTTGGGTATTTTAATATCACTTGTACTAATAAAACCCTTTAATTCTTTGTAATTATACATAGTGAGGCACTAAGTGGCTAATATATCCCTGACTTTTGATTTGTTTCCTTCAATTAGCTATTAAATTGTAAATGTATTTTAAAAGTTGATAACTTTTGTATTTCTTATCGGTTTTACATATATACCAAATTAATCATCTTTTGATGATCTTCAATTTGACATCCATATTGTATATATGAAATAAATAAATTGTATTTATTTTTTAATAATAAAAAATAATAATATTTATTGAAATCATTAGAAAAATAAAATTATTTCTCAATTGATATATTTATGTTTAATGTAGTTATATATTGTGTTAAAAAAATTATTATACTATAACACATGTATGTCGCACAAATAAAAAGTGTCATACTAAATGTATAATATATATATATATATATATATATATATATATTTATAAAAGGTATTTAAATTTTCAGCTACTTTTTCTCAATCGCCCCTATATATAATTCCCGAATGCGTTGAGCCTACTTGGCTGCTTCTGGTGCTTCGGAATCCTACTTGGCGAAGAATCATGATTCGTAATTAGGTTCGGACAAATAAATTGATATATTAATAATTAATATCCATTTCATAAATATTATTTAGCTAACTTAGGTATTATAATATCACTTGTACTAATATAACCCTTTAACTCTTTGTAAGTGACCAATATATCTCTGACTTTTGATTTGTTTTCTTCAATTAGCTATTGAATTATAAATGTATTTTAAAAGTTGATAACTTTTGTATTTCTTATCGGTTTTACATCTATAATATATCAAATTAATCATCTTTTCATGATCTTCGATTTGACATCCATATAAAATAAATAAATAATATTTACCTTTATAATAATAAAAAATACTCCCTCCTATTTTTTTTTAAATGTCATTCTAGTTTTATCAACTATTTGCTAAATAAATGTCGTTTTGGATCTTTTGTACATATTTTTCCATTATTACCCTCATTTAGCTAATAAATACATTACGTCTTTTCATATTCACTCTTCAATTTTTCTCAAAACATTCATCTCTATCTTCATTAAATAAGGTTATTATGACAAAAAAATATTCTTAATTAACGTGCAACTTCTCAAAACGACATCTATTAAAAATAGGAGGTAGTAATATTTATTAAATTTTATTTTTTTAAGTGACTAATATATCCCTGACTTTTGATTTGTTTCCTTCAATTAGCTATTGAATTATAAATGTATTTCAAAAGTTGATAACTTTTGTATTTCTTATCGGTTTTACATATATAATATATCAAATTAATCATCTTTTCATGATTTTCGATTTGACATCCATATTGTATATATAAAATAAATAAATAATATTTACCTTTATAATAATAAAAAATAATATTTATTAAAATTTTATTAAAAAAATAAAATTATTTCTCAGTTGATATATTTTTGTTTAATGTAGTTATATGTTGTAAGTTAAAAAAATTATTAT